AGAAAGAAAGAGAGAAAGAAAGAACAGAAGGGGCACCCACCTCGACATCAATATGTATATACCCTATGCACCAAGGCCCAGAAATCATGCAAAACTATCTCTATTACAGAGAGGCCAATTCTAAATCAATCTTTTGAAATTGCAGTTTAAGTTTGTCTGGCAAAAAAGAAAATTTAGAAAATTTCTTAGCACTTAAGAAGACAATTTTAAGAATTGAATCACCATTTAAATTTAAGATAGTCCTCATCTCTCCAGTCCACCCCATAACAAGATACTTTCACAGCCTCAGTTTCCATAACTGACAATTGAGGGCACCAAACCTAAACCTGTGCAGCTGGAGGGAAGCTTGAAATTCCTCTGTTAAGCAGTCACCATTTTAGTGGGGCTTGCCAGAGGAGCGTCTTATATAACCAGTTTTCCTGACATCTTGAATTCTAAGGAAATGATTTCAATTCTTCTGTCTTAGATGAACATCCTTTCAAAGGAAAAAAGGGGGGGAACTAGGCAGAAGCGACAGTTCTTATGTATTAAATATGTAATCTAAAGTCATTTCCACACACCCCAGTCCATCAGGCACACACCTTTCAGCCCAGCATTCTGGAGGCAAAACCTCACCACCAGCCCCTCCTATTGTCTATACCATGAGAAAAATCACGTCAGATTCTCAGCTGAAATACAAAGGGAAGCCCAAAGCTGGGGACAATTTAAAACAACCTTAAAACCTGTAGCTGTAAGTCTAAGCATGACAATTGTACAAACCAAGTATTCCTACATTTGCTTTAGTAAACACTTTTAAAATGTGAAAACCCCAAATTTAAACTTTTCACTTCTTTCTCTTTTTGTAACATATTGTATTGGAAGCAACTTGGATTTAAATTTTAGACTAAATCAAATTTGCTGAAATACTCTAAAATTAATCTAAACTGAATTTTAGCCACTTTCCATTCTTATAAAGGTTACAGAATTTGATGGGTAAAAGCTTTCTCACTAGCTGTAAAATCAAACTAAAATTCACTTGTTAATGAAACTACAGGACAACCAACAATTGATAAGCTGATGAACATATGTGATTCAGGTCCTATAAAAAGCTGGTGGTCAATAAATATTTTACTAAATCAATGTCTGGGAGATTGCTTTCATTGTGCAATCTTGCCACAGGTTAGATAATATGTATTAAAATTAATAGTTTTCATGTGTTTGTAAAGCATCTTTGTAGTTAATGGAACTTATCTATTTTCTTCTAGAGTTGGGGATGGTTCACTCATTTCTTCTCACTGTGTTTGTTCAAGGTCCCTTGGTATCTAGTGGGCAAGGGCTTCTTCAACCACAAAAATCAATTGTCCTAAAGGTTGTGTTGAGAGGTGGCATCATAACTGGTGTGTGAATTTCCCTAATGAGTCCATCTGTATTCATCAGGGTTTATGTCCCAGAACACATAGGATCAAATTTACCTTTGAATGAAGTCCAAATGAAGATGGGCTTAATCCACTGTCTGTAACCTTAATGGTTAAGAAGTTTAGTATATTCTCTGAACAGGGTCAATGTCTGTGCATAGTGTTATCAACTGTCTAGTGTAAAGGAAATCATTAAGTACATGACTGAAATGTGGAGGTTCATCTCTGACACTTGACTCCATCCATTACAGTTGGGCTCTGATTAGAGTAAATGATAGCCTGTAATTTTATTTATGGTTTTAATAACAATGAGAAGAATTATGATTACTCTAGTAGTTAAATTCATGTCAAATGTTCTCCATTCAATATTTTATAATGAACATTATTATGTGGGGAATACAAATATTTCTAACATTTTGTTTTGTTTTTTGAGACAGGATTTCTCTGTGTACCCATGGCTGTCCTAGAACTCACTCTACAGATCAGGCTGGCCGCAACCTGACAGAGATCTGACTAGCTCTGCCTCTCAAGTGCCGATTTAAGGTATGTGCCACTACCACCTAGCTGAATAAAAGTATTTCTTTTCAAGCCTATCCACCATCTTTATTCAATACCACATCTAATTTGAATGTATTACTGAAGAGACTAGGGCACCAGGCTGGTAGCCAACCCTGCCCATTCTCTGAATTTAACAAATAATTCAAAAGAGTTAAGAGCATTGTAGAGTGACATCACTAGAATGCACAGTGTAGAATGCACGGTGTACATTCAAGTGTCAAAAAGAGGAGCAAGTTCACACTTAGGCTAAAGCCCTGATTAAGCTGTGTGTGGTGGAGCACACATTGAATACCATCGCTCAGGAACCAGAGGCAGGCAGATCTCTGAGAGTCTGAGGCCAGCATGGTCTGCATAGTGAGGTCCAGGCCAGCAAACTGGGACTCTTGTCTCAGAAAATCCCAACCACATGGTTACAATTTCATGAGTTTGTTGAGAATGAACTATCGACCTTTATCACCTGCACATAACCACCTCTTCTTATCACATGCCCCCCCCCCATGAGTGTAACAAATGAGTAAGGAATTAATTTCCTGGGTGTTAATCAGAACTAGCATCATCTGTGGCTCTGTGGACCTATGTTTCCAATAAGACCACCTAGCCCCATATCTACTCCTCTTAGGAGCTTGAACCCCCTAGCAGTTATAAAATTTCCTACTCTCTTCTCTCTCTGGCATCTAGGATCAAAAAAATATCTAAATATTTCCTAAACTTTATGGAATAAAGTTCTATGGGTAGGTTGGTAATGAATGCCTAAAAGGCTCAGGAAGGGATTGGCTTCAAAATGCAGTTAATGAAAGGTTCATGAGCACAGTAAGATCAGACACTTGCTGTTGGCCATCAGGGTTCTGACCCATTCCCTAGTCTCATCTCTTCTCTCAGCCTTACTTCACTCTCCAGTCAAACAGGTCTCCAAACAGAGTCAAACCCTCTCCTTTCTCTGGGTCTTTGCAATGCATATCTGGAATGTTCTCCTGGCTGGTCATGGGACATATGCCTAATTCTCAATGACTTATTAAAATAGTAACTTCTATCTTGGCAAGAACACTCAGTGGGGGAAGGCACTTGGTGAAAGCTAGGGTTTCCTCAACCTATATCACAAAGCTTTTTGACTTTTCTACCACAAACCTTAACTAAAGGCCTAAAAGACACATGGTCAGAATTTCATAGTAAACACTGTAATTCTTGACATAGTTTATGCTAATTTTCCCAGCACTCTGTTAGAGTATGTGATAGAAGCGGCTTAGTGGATGAGAAGTTGGTTGTGACTTGCATCTTAAGGGGTATAGTCCATCATTTAGATAATGCTCAGGACTTGTGGCATCATCACATGGTACTAACCAGGAAGAAGACACAGAATCAGAAGCAGAGGAAATGTAGGATCTCAAAGCCTAGACCTAGTGACCTTCATTTATCAGCTTGTCATTTTGTCTCACAGGTTCCACAACCTCCTGAAATAGCTTCACCAGAGAGGAACCACGTGTTCATTCACACAAGCCCCTGGGGGACAGTTAACATTCAAACTATCACCCCCCCCTCATGGTTTGTAGTTGGGATGGGATCTCTATGCAAAAGAGTTTTTGTTGACAATGTTATTTAGGTGCAGGTTGTGAAACACCAATCTGTGTTTCATTTCTGATTGGTCTGGAAAATAAAGAACCAATGTAAGCCACATAAGATCTCCATGTATGTATGATATACTTAGCAGAAGCTCTCAATACCAACATATTTTGCTATCATGAACTATACCT